ATGCGGCTCCGGGCTCGTTTGCGATGGTGCTGGGGTGGGACGGGCTGAGTCTCTTCTCGGTTAACGTGTCCTCGCCTTCGCCCCAGTACTTGGAGGTGCTGCGGTCCCACCAGAACAGGCCAGCAAAATGCCTTACCGTCCTCTGGGCGCTGGGACAGGCCGGATTCACGGACCTCCACGAGGGCCTGAAAGGTGAGAGCCGGGAGCGGCAGCCTGGGTGCCCAGCCCCGCTGAGGGGGCTCCCCCTCCCCTGGGGAGCATGAGGAGAGCGGGGGCGACCCCCGGTACCACCCGCCTGTCTCCGCTCCCACGTTACTGCTCAGGCGTGGGGTCTGATTCAAAACACGCCATCCCGCTGCTGGAACACTGGGGAGGGGGCTGCAGCGGGGTCCTGGGGGCTCTGGGGAGGGGGTGCCTGGGAACTGGGGTGTCTGCAGCCAACGTGGGTACCTCCTGGTGAGGGCACAACGAGCATGTCAGATCATAGAATCAGAATAGAATCGCTTTGGTTGGAAAAGCCCTTTGAGATCATCGAGTCCAACCTTTAACCTAACCCTGCCATCCCACCACTAAACCCTGTCCCTCAGCACCTCATCTCTCCTTCTTTTAAATACCTCCAGGGATGGGGACTCGACCACCTCCCTGGGCAGCCCATTCCAGAGCCTGACAGCCCTTTGGGGAAGAAGTTTTTCCTAATGTCTAGCCTAAACCTGCCCTGGTGCAATGCTCCTTTGGGAGCAGAATTGATGGGAAAGCCCCTTAAGATCGAGTCTGCCCGAGCGTGGGTGGTGCCCCCCCTGCGCCATGGTGGGGCTGGGCTGGGGTTTGCTGCCCAGCGCGGTCACGCGTGGTGCTGCTCGCTGGTACCGGCTGCTCGTCGCACCTCCTGCGCGCCTTCCTTCCTCAGCCACGTGTGTTGGCGCTGGTCGCCGCCGTGGGAGGGGAGTGACTCGTGCTGAAGTTGGGGGGGGGGCACAAACACTCAGTGTGTGGCATGGCGATGTCGTAGGGCTGCGTGAAGCAGTTATTTTGGGGGGAGCTGGAGATGTCGCGAGAGGCACCCTGCTTACAGAAGGGGGAGTGCAGATCTTGTGCCAAGCCTTGGTGGCCTCTCTGCAGCAACAGGAACTTAGGGCGTCTTGTTTCTGGAGAGCATCTTCACCCGGCCGGGACAGGGAAATCGCTGGATCCTGGGAGGAACCGTCCTGCCTGGGGAGCCGGGGAGCGTGCTGCCCTGCGTTCCCCCGCGAGCAGGGCAGGCGAGGCAGCACAGCCGCCCCGCAGCCCTTCCCGAGGGAGCCGTCCGGCCGCTCGCT